ACCTTAACTAAGACAGTCCCTGAACCTTTGTGGGAAAGGAGTGTGATATAGTTTTCTCATTTGTGTCTGAGCAGTCTGCAGTTACGTTTTCCTTGTACCTTGACTAGCTGTGAGCATCAGTGTTAACCTTCATCCACTGCACAAAGGAAATTTCTGATATGGTCTGAGAGCTGCACTAATCTGTGGGTATAGAAATGAGGATAGTGGGCAGTTTGATACTATTGACAAAATATTAGTGCTGGTTTTACCCCTGGGTCTTTGAGCTTCTCATCCATGGGTTTTGGCAATAACTATAGTACCAGGGATGTATTTTCTGCTGTGGAATGGGTCTCAAATCCAACCAGAGAAGCAGTTGATTACCCCTATAATATTTATTCTAGTGTTCTACCCATGGGTGTATCTTAGCACACTGGTTATTATTATAGCCTATGGGATTTACAGCTAGGTGGGACTGCTGCTGACTTTTCCCCCTAAGAAGCTTACATAGATCCTTCTGGTACTATGAAAGCTAGCCAATAGGGAGAATGCTTTCTGGTTAATACCAGCTTGATTTCTCCTTGTCCTGTGTCCACAGTATGGAATCTTCAGCACTATGGTGAATGATAAAGAGCAAATGTAATGGCTTGCACTATTTTGGTAGTTTCTAGTGTACTCCTGACGGTGTACTAGTGGATTTTTCATTGGGTGACCTATGGCTTTGGGGGACAACATTATCTCCTTCCACTACATATAGGTTAATCCAACTATACACACACACACACACACACACACACACACACACACACACACCTTTATACATTTGAATATATATTGGGAAATAGACTTGTAAGCTATTCATGAATTAAAGGGAAATAATAGGGATTAAAATAGGACTGAATAATGTCTGTACTGCAAATTGAATTAGTGGCATCAAGCTAAAGTGTTATAGAAAAGAAATTAATAGTTTTAAGTCTTATAAAAGAAGTAATGGGTGCTGAATTATCCAGTCATTGGGTAAAAGCCCTCACTATGCAAGCATGAGCGCCTGAGTTTGGAACCTCAGTATTCATGTAAAAGGCTAGGTATGGCTGTTAGCACCTGTAATCTCAGTGCTAGGGCTAAAGGGCTGGCAGAGATAGGAGAATTGTTGGGGCTTAATGGCTAGCTGGCCAAACTACGAGGTGAAAGAAAAAAAGCCCACAAAACTGATGAGCTCTAGGTTCAGTGAGGGTCCCATCGCAGGAGAACTAGGTGGGGAGCAATAGAGAAGTAGCTTCTTCCACATGCATGTGTACAGGATGTATACACCTGTACCATGCATGTGTACATGCACACACTACACATAATACATACATAACAAACAGAGAGGAGGGGAATGGAGAAAAGTGCTAAAAGGTAGTGAGATAAATATCTAATTTATAAACATAGGAAAAGCAAGTGGAATAATTCAAAAAGGTACAAGGAAGAAAGTACTGTAAAAAATAAGAACAAAAATTAATGAAGCAAAAACCAAAAATGAACGTGTCTGGTCAGCACTTCCACAACTGGATCTCTGATCTGTTGGTTTAATTTGGCATTCTTCTGATGAGGTCAAGCAAGTAAACTCTAAGGATAAATATTTGAGAAAGAAAACAAAACTATAGATACTGTTGGTAGAAGATATAATTAGGGTTTATGAAATCTTCCTGCAAATAAATATTAAAATTTAGTTGCATTGTGGAGGTCTTAGTAGGGAAAAATACCGGCTTTCTATGATTTTGCTCATGTTTTCTAATGAATGTCCAAGTAAAAAAGAATTCTTTTTTTGTTTTCAGAAAAGTTCTCAGAGCATATTAAAACAAGCTCCCGTAGATAAGTGTATACCAAAACCCAAGATCAACAGAACAGATGGGAACAGAACAGAGCACTCTACCCAAACACTAGATGAAAAATCCTGAAAGAATATCCACAAGCTGAATTCATTAACATTGGAAAACATTATATATCATGACTAAGTGAAGTTTTCCTAGAAATACAAGGAACGGATAATGTTGAAATTCCATTGATGTTACTCATTACAATAACATATTAAAGGGAGAAATGTATGGGATGGAAGCAGAATGTTGGATAATATTAAGCATCTTTAATGATTTAAAGAAACTCTTGAAATGATTGTAATAAAAGAGAACTTTCTCAAACCTAAAAGTGCATCTTCAAAGATCTAATTACTATATTTGTTAGTAAATAACATTATTTTTCAACATATGAAAAACAGATGTCAAACTAAATGATGCCATGGTAAAAAATTTCCCTTTGAGACCTAGAACAAAACAGGCCCTTCTTCCTGAGTGGTCTTTTTATGTGGCTGGTGTGCACTTGCACATAGTGGAGTTGTCACAGGGTTGTTAGCTTTGTACTATGTTATCTGGTTTCCAAGAGGGGGCAGAGACTACCAGTTGGGATTATCATAAATTTACTGGACTCATTCCATGCTGGTTGGCTTTGAGCATGGGGACAGAGACTGTCAATTGTCATCTAGGTTAGGGCAGAAACAGAGATACTGATACTTTGTCACATTCAGAATCAGAATCATTGTTCAGTGTGAGTTCAGGTGTGGAAAAATAGACCCAATTTATGATTTGGAAAAGTGACGTTTGTGAAGTATTGAGGAGAAAGGACTGATGTAAGTCACTTCTGAAGGTCATCTCCCATGACTCCTGTCAGTGAACAAAAATGTAGTGAGTTGGTAACTGAGAAAACTGTAGGATGGTGGCATATTGACAAGCTGCTTGTGTTCATACAAATCAATGTAAGTGCTTCGAAAAATATTTTGGTCTTATCTGGTAAAATTAGAGTAAGATACTGGGGTGGTTTGAATAAAAATGGCCCCAGAGGCCCATAAATTTGAATACATAGTCATTGGCAAATGGCAGGACTTGAGAAGGATTAGGAAATATGGCTTTGTTGGAAAAAGTGTGTAAATGGAGGTGGGATTTTAAGTTTCAAAAGCCTAAACCAGGCCCCAAGTCACTGTTTTCCTGCTGCCTACATATCTGGATGCAGAACTCTTAGATCCTTATCCAGCACCATGTTTGCCTGTGTGCTGACATGCTCCCTGCAATGATGACAATGCACTAAACCTCTAAATGTAAGGAAGCCTCAATTCATTACTTTCTTTTGCAAGGATTGCCTTGGTCATGGTATCTCTTCACAGAAGTAGAACAGTGGCTAAGACAGAAGTTGGTATCAGGAATGGAATATTGTTGTGACAGACCTGGCTACACTGTTTGTTGGAGGAATATGGAAGACTTTTGGGCTTTGCATTTAAAAAAGTGGTTGGACCCTTTAAGTAGGGGATAATAGGCCACCTTAAAGGCACAGGAGCATGGGAGATGGTCATTTGAACTGTGGAAGCCCACCTCAAGAAGTTTTAGAGGGAAAGAATATTCGTTAGTGGCCAAGAGACTATTCTTGTGATATTTTGGGGGAAGAATAGGCCTGCTTTCTGCCTCTGTCCAAAAACATCTGCCTGATGGTAAATTGAAGAGTTGGATTAATGGTGTTGGCAGAGGAGATTTCAAGACCAGCCTGGTATTAACTCTGTTGCACAGTTATTAGTGGTCACTCTCTTGCAGATCTGTAATGAAAATATGAAAGCTGAGCAAGGAAAAAAAATGCAAACTGTACAGTTTGAGGAGAAAAGTATCATCAGAAGGTGGAAAGGAGCTAAGTACAGTACTCAGTGAGATACAAAGTTTAAAGTAGGCTCCAATGTTCAGTTGAATAAAGGGAGTGGTGACTTCAGCACAAGACTCCAACCAGCTAAGCTTTCAACTTGTGAAAAGGATTTAAAGAGACGCTTAAGTAGTGAAGGAAACCATCAACAACAGAAAGTAGACGCAGCTGTAATCAAATGAGGGGGTCAATGTTCCAGCCCCAGCAAGCAGCCAAACTTGGCAGCTTTATTCACATGGTTCTGTCTTTAGAGTGAAGGAAAATCGACAATAATAGAACTGTAAAACCATAAGCACTTGCTTACAGAGTGCTTTCTATTATAAGAGTTGGTCATGATGTCTCTTCACATCAGTAGAACAGTGATGAAATTGCATCACCACGTGGTTTACACCTGGATGGAAACACAAGATGGTTTTATGATCAGATTTTTATATATTTTCAGAGTAGCACTGTTGTAAAGATTAAAAACCTAGAACAGACACCAGGCCAGTGGCAGAGCTGATAAATAAATGAGGTGAACTCTTACAATAGAACAGTAGAATACTCTTCTTCAGTAAAATATGATTAAGTTCCTTGTGCATGGCTTTACAAGGACACGATTTAATCTCTAAGACATAAACACTTAAGGCATATGCAACACAAAGTTTTAAAATATGAGTAAACTAATAATATATTCTGTACGGGTGCAAAAGTTAATGGTAGAACTAAAAAACAATCTCAAAATTCAGTGACAGTTCCTAGAGGGCTAAAGGGAGAGGTATGTGGAATGGACTGACTGAGTCTAATTATTATTTTTATTCTTGGTGACTTGAATGATGAGTGCTTCACTTTTTCTTATACCATATATATATATATATATATATATATATATATATATATATATAATGTTCTTTTTGTCTTATTTATGCTTACATTATTTTTCTTTTATTAATTGTCTTCTAGTGATACTCTTGAGTCTTTGTCTACACTGTGAACTTGTTTCTCTGGTTAATTAACTGTTGGCCTACTCGCCAATGGTTTTCCTGTTGACAGTAGACTTTGGGGTTTCAGAAACAAGTAGGTTTTGGCAGGAAGCTTTCACAGTATTGCAGACCTATTGTCTCAGTGAGGTGGAAAGGCATTTGCCTACTTGCTTGTCCCTGTAGGGCCTCTTCCAGACCAGGAACATCTCTTTAAGCAGATACATGGGATTTCCTGCTGGATTTTATAATTGCTGGCCATTAAAAACAGAGAAAGGAGTAGTTGTCAGGTGTAAACTGTTAGAACAGAATTTTCTCAGATTTTGTGATTGTCTTCTTGTTTTACAGATTGATCAGCTGAAACAGGAACTTTCCAAGAAGGAGTCAGAACTTCTTGCCTTACAAACAAAGCTTGAAACCCTTAGCAATCAAAATTCAGATTGCAAGCAACACATTGAAGTGCTTAAAGAGTCACTTACTGCCAAAGAACAGAGGGCTGCCATCCTTCAGACTGAGGTAAGGCATTGGCTCAGGCTCTGGAGAACAGGGACACTTGGCCATATACAATGTTCTTCCTGAGAGGCATCCTGAGAAGAACCCATTCCCAGAACTGCTGGGGCCAGATGTGTTTTTGGGATTCACAGAAGTTTGGGATTTGAAGTGAGACCTGCTGTGAATATTATAGTTTTATGACTCTCTACTGAGGTTGCAGCAATACCTAAGACATGGGGCTTTCTCTTCAGGGAAGACAGTCTCATATTGAGGTGGGATAAATAAAGATGAAGACTGGATTCGTTGTCTCCTGTTGATTTGTGTCATGTTGTATACCCAAGGAGTTCATTTCACATTTAGAATTTTTCTATTATATTTTTCTATTGTTTAGAGCATTTTATTTTATTTTTTTTCAAGACAGGGTTTCTCTGTATAACAACCCTATATGTCCTGGAACTCACTTTGTGGACCAGGAGGGCCTCTAGCTCACCTAGATCTGCCTGCATCTGCCTCCACAGTATTGGGATTAAAGGTGTGAGACAACACGCCTGGCTTTAGAGTGTTTTTGCTGTGGTGGTGGTTGTTGTTTTGTTTGATTTGAGAATAATAAGGAATTAGATCTGGAATTAATTTATTTGATTAAAATCATAATATGATTAGACTAGTTCATACTTTACTTGATAACCATTATATAGATGATTTCTTATCAATTTTCTCAGTGAAGAAAGTATTGTGTGTTTCTTAAAGGAAATACTGCTTTGTTATTTCTGATTCCTATTTAGAGGAACAATAAAAACAACCCCAAACTCCATACATGTTATTATTATTCTCTTTTCTTACTTCTTCTTGTTGGATCACACATTTCTGTTTTATAAGAAATACAAAACACACACTAGTTATCATGTAAATAAAACAGCCATCAAAAGCAATGGACAATATAGCAAAGAAGGTGGTGTGTCAGGCTAATTTGTGTGTTGCACCTTGTGGGTTACTTTGGGAGAAGGCAACATAATCGGTATGTATGTTCTCAGGGGCTCTTTGCACCCTGTGTTTGTATATATAGACTTGAAGATGTATAAGGACATAAACATTTGACTTAGGAATGAGCTGGGTTTGTTGAGTAGATCTATGCTCTCAGTGAATGTTGTATGGGCATTTTCTTTTTTAACACATGGATTTATGGCATAAATTGAAAAATTACTTACATCTCATTTGAAGGGGCAGCAGTACAAAGTGTCTAGAACTCAGCTGTTCAGTAGTGAGCCATTAGCCTCACAAGGCTATTTGAATTTACTTAGTTTAGAAAAATTTAAATATAATGCTTTAATCACTTTAGTTATGTTCTACATATTTAGTAGTATTATGCTGGTAATGTCTGCTAACAGTTTTCTAGAACAGGGATTTACTTGGGATCCAACTCTAGCCCTTTGGTTGATTTTATAAAATGTTATTAGAACCTATCACATCTATTCATCTATATGCTTTCTTGCTCTAATGGCAGAGCTATGCAATTGTTACAGAGCTTGTGTGAGCTGCAGAGGTGAAGGTATTTGTTGTCTCATCTTTCATGAAAAAAAAAAAAAGATTGTTGGCCCTCTCAGTGTGAGCAGGCATTGTAGTCCAATAAAGTCTCCTTCTTGATTCCTACTCAGGCACAGGCCAGGTAGTTTACTGAGTCCTATCCAAAAGCATATTTGCTTTACAAAGCACCTTTTTATATCTGCATTTTTGTCTTAAAGTTTTGTAATTATGTTACTGTGATTTGGGTGGGAGACAGTATGATGAGCAATGCAGTCTGTTTGCCCAAACAGGTATCCTAGTTCCCTGACAGTTCCTCTCCAGAAGGAAAAGTTAGGAGAGCCAGCTCAAAAGGCCTCTCCCTTCACCATCTTACACTGATGCCTACAGTAGTTTGCCTACCCATCCTTCTACTTTACTTCTTCTGCATGAACACAGTTTAAATTAGACCCATACATATTTCATGAAAAAGACTGAGATGACATTATGTGGACAGCTTCTGTCCCATGTTCAATAATTAAATGGCCCAAAGGGGAGATGGTGCTTTGAAGTAGAAATGAAGTCACTCTCTGAGGACAATGACGTGGTATTTCTGCACTCTTGCTTTGAAGTTGAGAGTGAGATATTAATAAGTTTATTGGCTGAAACAGCCAAGGGATTTTCTTTTGCCTTTTTTCTTCTATTAAGATGACTGTGCATAGAAACAGAGGAACAAGTTGCCTGATGATGTCTGTCTCTTGAAGAAAGCAATTTAGTTGAAATTAGCTCTAATCGTTGGGTCATGAGGGAAGGATTCTGATAGCATGGTAGAATATATTAAAGTGCTAAGGACAAGAATTGAGGGATCCTCAAGGGTCAAAACACTACACCACAAGAAGACCTACAGAGTTAACTAACCTGGGCCTGGTCTGGGGGGGCTCACAGACTAAACCACCAACCAAAGAGCATACATGGGCTGGACCTGGGCCTCCTACACAATGGTAGCAGATGTGTAGCTAGGTCTTCATGTGGGTCCCCAACAATTGGAATTGGGGCTATCTCTGACTTTGTTACTTGCCTTTGGAACCTCTTCCTGTAGCTGAGGTGCTTTGTCTGACCTCAGTGGGAGAGGATGCTCTTAGTCCTGCTGTGACTTGTTGTGGCGGGGCAGGTTAGTACACATTGGGGATGGAGTGGGGGTTCTTCCTTTTCTCTTGGGAGAAGGGGAAGGGGAAGGGGTCATGAAGGAAGGGGTTTATGAGGGTGGGATTGGGAGGAGAGGAGAGAATGGAGCTGTGATCAGTATGTATAGTGATTAAATAAATTAATTAATGAAAAAAACAGAAAGTAACTAAGAAAGAAAAAAAAAGGTGCTACCTCCTCTTTGCTTCAACAGGAAAACCCGTCTCCTTATCTCATATGTGGTTGCTTAGTGGGAAGGTAGTTGCTAAATGAGATATGTTACATCTCATTGAAAGATATGAGTTAAAATATACCTAAGGGATGTGGAACTTTTTCTCAGAAGCGGTGATATGAGACAGTTGCTAGCAGTTTGATTTCTGACTCATTCCAAAAGGCTCTTCCCAGAACAGAAGAGAATGGGAAAAGTCTTGCTGGCTTCCCTGGAACATCTCTGCTGCCAGCTGGCTTTAGCCATATATCTGTACTGCCATATAAATGATAGCTGTCACCGCTTATTCCTTGAGAACACAGCATAAATGACAGCTGAACTGGCATAATAGTTCCTCTCTGTAAGGTAGGTTCTGCAACTAGGACCTTTGTGTTTGGGAGGTGGTAGGATGAAGGGTGGGGTGAGAGGTGGGAGGCAAGTTGTCTGGGTTTGTGGCTATGTGGCTTGGCTCTTTGGTTAGCTTGTTTTAACTTATACAAATACCCAGGCGCTTTTTGACATGTGTGCAATAAATCAGTGGAATAATAATTATACACATACAGAGATACACCGCATGGCTCTTAACATAACATTTTACTTTTTAAAATAGCTTCAAAGGACCCCACAGCCACGTTTCTTATTTTGCTATTTCCTTTAGTGTTTCCTACACACCATTTTACCCCATCCAGCAGGTCACGTCCTGTGCAGCAGTTAGGGTACTAGTGAATTGGCTTGCATTCTTTCTTGCTTTTGAGTAATTATCAATATGAACAGAAATAGGAAGGATAAAGTCCTACCATTTATTTCAGATTTCAGTTGTATTTAAAATGTTTTTTAAAAAAATAAAGGAGCAAACACAGTGTTTAGAAGTCAGAGGTCTGTGGTTACGAATGAATCTCCCTGTTAACATATATGTGTATGGGGGAAGGTATGAACACAGAATTCAGGAAAGTACTTTCCTTGCTTGTAGTAAAGTGTCCTAACTGCAAGTTGAGTTTCCTGTATTGCTGTTGCTATTCATTGTCAGGATGGTTGAGCAAGTTACATTTTTTCTCACCTATTGTATTTTAGCTTTCTGAGTTTGTTTTGAAACTGAGCTTGTTGCTGTGTGTATAGAGAGGCCAGCCTTTCACAGTTTAATCCAGGTACCTTCTTATGCCTTCAATTGAAACAGAGAAATAAAGGTATTACCTATTGGTTCTTTTGTGAGTACTACCAATGGGTTCTTTTCTCAAACGAAGACTTTTGCTTCCGCTGTTTTGGAGAGCAGCCTTCTTTCTGCCTCAGCATGATTGCCAAACCACTAGTCATGGTGATTCTTACTCATACTTTCTAGACAATGTGTTATAGTCTACACAATGTTAAAGTTTTGTTTGCTTGTTTTATACTAATGTATGTTGCAGATAGATCAGAGAGGTGATCTATATGTCTAAGAACTTGTTAGCTAGCAGGGATTATAGGGGTTTCATGCTCCGACAGGCAAGGAGCAACATGTGTTGGGTAGGGTTGTGAGTTCCATAGCAAAGATTTATAGCTTTCCTTTTGAAAATGTCATAATATAGATTATATGTAATTAATTACAGATTCTTATACAATCTCTAGACATTCTTTCCAGAAAAATTCCTCTTGTGGTATCTTGCAGATAATTCCACACAGTCAAGAACTGTTCAGTCTTTAAGAGCCACAAGTTTGGTGCAAGATAGTCTTGTCTTTTATTGTTTTAAGTTTGTCATAATACATACATTATTTTATGTGGGATTTCCAGGGAAGGACTTCTGCTTCCTGTCTCATCTCCTGCCCTGGTTGCTGGGAAGTGACTCTCTACTGACCTCATTTGAGACTTGATGAAGTGATAGTTACTGTCTTTCTTCAGATAGACGTTTGCTGACTGTCCTGCGTGATCAGCGCAGCGTTGCACGCAGGTGCTTTTTTTTTTTTTTTTGCTTTCATATCCAAGAAGCTTTTATTTTTTTTTTTTTTTTTTTATTGGATGATTTATTTACATTTCCTATGTTGTCCCCTTACCCCATCCCCCACCACCCCCTCGGAACCTCCAATCCCCTCGCCCCTCCTCCTTCTTCTCTGTGGATGTAACCTCTATCTACACCCCCCCCACTCCCACCTCCCCACCCTCAAA